TTTTGAAAACTGGGGGGGAACTCTTCCCCCCCCCCTCCTTCGGTCTCGCCGACCCCCTCTTGACCTTCCCCTGGACCGAAGGTGTGCCATGCAGATTTTGGCTGCTTTAGCTCTTACAGGGACTGAATGCATAGAGAACAAACAAACAAACTTTCTTCTTTATATATATAGATAGATAGATACACTAGACGATGTAGGTTCAAGGTGCAGCATATGGTTAATACCTAGATGTAGGAATCTTTTGAAAAGCGAACAACTATATCTTGACTGCTTGTATATGAGTGTGTGCAAAATTCAGTATTCTTTCGAGTATCACTGTTTTCATGCTTATTTCAGTTTAGTATTACTCTATAGAGGTGCACCATGTACACTTGTATTCATCAACAATAAATATTCTAATTGTACTAATATCTCTTGATATTGTTGATCATACGATCGAAATTTCATTCGATAATCAGACGAAGATAATAAAAGTCATCTAGAGTTTTAAGTTTATGTCTCTGTTACTTGATTTGTAGTGCGATTTTGATGAACAAAGCATGTTCGAAAATATAGAACATTTTAAAAGGTCAAAACGAACGATTCGAAGAATATAGTAGTGAGCAAATCAGGCTTGATTTTGACAGAAAAAGAATAATTGTGTTTCGGGTGGTGTTTGTTTGTTGGCCTGAAATTTCACAAAATGATTATCTAGTATCGTGAAGGAGAGATCCTTGAGATGACTGGCTAATACATCACGCGGATACGCAGACACATGTACTGGTTGACCAAGGAATTCAGCTTCGTAGTAATCAAAATCGCCTTCTACCATTCCTAGCACAAGATAACCAGGCGATTTTAATATGGTCTTGATTTGTCGAAGCGTTGATTCGATATTAGCACGGCGTAACATCAGTAGTGAGAAAAAGGCTGTAACTGCATGGAATGAAGCTGGTGCAAATGAAAGATTAGCTGCATCGGCTTGAAAAAAGGTTCCTTGTGGTACTTGATGTTGAGCGATTTTCACCATTTCTACTGAGATATCAATCCCAGTGACGGTATGTCCAGCATCGGCTAACATGCGTGCCGTGGGAACACCAGTACCTGAACCTATATCCAGGATTTTCGAATTCGGTGGCAATCGATCAAGTAACCATTTTACAGCAGTAGTTTGGTTCGTGTTGTTACCAAATATTGCTTCGTATTTTTCTCCAATTTTATCATAGACGTTTGCTTGTTGGCGTGCATCGGCAGACAAAGAATTGGAGATCATAGTGTTTTTTTGATGAAAGTAAAACTCAAACGTTATTCTGCGTTTTTCTTTATCTTTTATGGCTTTACATTTAACTCACACTATTCTTATCTTTTTTTTTTATATCATACACTCCGTTTTGTCTATTCTTATTTTTTTGTTTCAAATTTCAATATCACTATCTCTCCCTTCCATAACTCATATATGACCACTCAAGCTGGAGTATTCAAGATATAGTTAACGCTGTGTGAGAGTAGTTTGCAGATAATTTTTGATGTTTTTAATGGTAATATCATGAATCTTAAAACAAGATTATTTACGAGAAAAGCTGCTATTGAGCATGTGGTTTAGAAGAGTTGAAAGTTATTCGTGGATAGTGGGTATAATCAGTGACTTCAATCACATAATATGCTTGAATAATTAGTGTAGGATAAGTGAATTTACTTTCTTAGGATTCATGTACGTCATGCTTGTTCCTATAAGTATACGGACCGGCAGCGTTTCTAATGAGATTTTTAATCAAAATGGAATGAATCACTTTGCTCTGTTTTGGATTTGCTCCACTCTGTTTTTAGCAGAGAAAACATAGAAAATGCAGTGATAAACTGTGGAAATCCACTTTGCTTCAAATTCTCATTAGAAACACTGAACCTGTATCAGCTTTCTTAGTCTGAGTTAAATTTGTTCTGCGCAGGTTCTTATGATATGAGAAAGAAAAGACAAGACGTTTCTTTTCTTTTATTCTTTAAAACAAATGTGAAAATGAAAAATATACTTGATGCATATCATAACAATGTCCACAAAATCATGTGGTCGTGTCAACCGAAATGCACAACTAGTACAGATGAGAAGGAGAAAACAAAATGAAAATTTCAGAAAGCAAAGTGGCTATCTTTAATTTTCAAAATGGAAAACCGCTTTGCTTTCACGGGGACCACCAATCATTAGAAACACTGCGGACCGGACAGATTAGAAGAATTCATCTCGTCAATAAGCTTTGATCAAAAACTTCTACTTCGTATGGTAAGGTTGATTAACTAAACGTATCGGTACATTAATATATCTTCACCAGTAGTTAAAGCGACAAATGGTCTTATTTATTTGTAATATCGATAAATAAAACTACATAAACTTTCTGAGTATTAGGTCAAAATAAATTTAATTTCACGGACTTTAAAGCAAAAATTCACCTACTTTCGATGAAACAAGGTGCTTATAAAAAACAAAGAATCTCTTTTTGTTTATTTTGCTGAAAAGACAGCAGTCTTCAAATATAACACACATATTCATCTTCTATCCCGTAAACCTCTGTTTCGTATTCCTACCTTTGTCTAGTGTTACACAAAAAATTTTTGTTATATGGTATGAGGACTGACGACTAAGTGCATCCGCTATAGTGTCACTAAAACATATAGGATATTCAAAATTCGAACTGAAATTCATTGGATGAAAATTTTAGATTTAAATTAGCTTCAAATAACATTTCATTTCCCCATATTTTTTTGTTATACTCAAGCGTAGCTACTGAGATCTCCGATGAGGGCGCCACTAACAGACTGTGTTGGAGATTCATGGTGCGGCGCCCTCATCGGAGATCTCAGTAGCTACGCTTGAGCATAACAAAAAAATATGGGGAAATGAAATGAACAGAAAAACTGGTTAAAAATATTTGTAACGCTGAAAAGAAAATACCGCAACCAAATTTGTTTCCATTTCGCGCGGTGCGATAGATGGCACCCAAATACTGCCTTGAATGTCACTGTCAACGAAATATTTCTGTGGAGATAGTTCTCGGAATCGACCATGGTGCTCTATTGTCAAGTTCGTATCACAGTAATTATTATGAAAATAAAAAGTGGTGTATTACGTTTAGATATTATGTAAATGAATATTCTAATGAATATAGTTATGTTTATGTTCACACCCTTCCTTATATGAATGATCATGTTAGTACAATTTTATATGGAATGCAAATGGTTTATTTATTAGCCGTGATGACTAAGGATGTATATGATAATGTTGACTGATTAGAAGTTAGTAAGTATTCATAAAAAAACTCTCTAAAATGTTCCCTGCCCTACATCTGAAATTCAACTGCGGTGTTCTTCCTTGTGTGCAGAGTGGTAGAAACTCGGGAAGGCAGTTTTTCTCTCTACAGGTTTGTATAGACTATGAAACAATGTGTCACCATAAATTATCAGGATTCAATAATTACATCGTTCAGCATCGTAATTGTAATACTTCCGTTTGATGCATCGTTTCAACATTAAAAAAGACATGAGTCACAAGAAATGTTCAGGCTTCCCAATTAATTTGAATAAACGTACGTAACTCAATATTCTCACCAAAGTGCAAAATTGAGCACTCTCAAAATATCGATAAGTTTTAGCAAACTTATAATTCAAGCAATGCTATTCAATGGCACACACGACCAACATTTGTATTTCGACTGATTAACAAAGCTCTAAGAACAGAAGATTATGAAGCTTTATTAACTCTTCGATTCTATATTATTGATCTATGTAACGCTCTTCGACTGAAGTATGATGAATTAAAGCAAGATCAACAGA